GTCTCTCTCTCTTAATCATCCTATATTCAAACTGCAAGCTCTTTGGGGTTGAGGCTATCCTCTTCTTCCAAGTTTCCTGAAGACCAAAAACCATGAGTCAGGTTCCTCAGGCACTGCACACACACTAATTAATAAGACAATAACCCAGAGGAGGCAAATGGAGAGCTCATGAAGTTGTTCAAATGTGCAGTAGCTGAGGAGGCAGGCAATACATGCTAGAGCCTGGAAACCAGCAGGGCTTGGAGGAGGATTGAGAACAGGACTGAGGTCAGCTGAGGTGGAGATGATATTGCAGGTGAAGAATTCAGGATAAAGAGTTAAAAGAAAAGTAAACAGGCAAAATAATGGAGGTAGCAATACACATACCTGGAAACACAGAGAACAGGAGTAAAGTCCATGACTCAGGTGAGCCCACAGTTATTGACATGGGAGATAATGAGAAAAAAGATTCACCAAAAAAAAAAAAAAAAGAAAGCATATCCACATACCTGTAAACCATTTCATTAGAAGCCGTGTCATCAAAGGCATAATCAAAACGAAAAGTTTGGTTTTCTAGGTACCTTGTTAAATCCACTTTTTGTTTTGGTTCATGTACCATCACAACATCTTTACTAGGAATTGTTATTACATCAAGGTCTTTCATTAAAGTTTCTATAAAATAAGTAAAATACATATTTAACTAACAACACATCATTGTTTTTTTTACATTTTTTCATTGTTTACACTCCTACAACATCTCGGATAACACAGCTCCTCCAAGTAACAACACTGCAATGAGTTTGGGCTTTTCATGCCTAGATAGCAATCTGCTAAGTAAGAGATTTCTTTTGGAAGTCTAGTCATCCTACCAACTGCTAGAAATTAAAGAGAGGTTGTACCAAGTTGATTACAAAAACTAAGATCATTAATTACAGCATTATCATTGTAGCTTGTTACGTATTCTATAACAACACTTCCATAGATTTGAGTTATTTTTCTTAAGGCTTCTATACTGTTTTACAGATTACTGCCATATCCTTTGAGTTTTTGTAACTAAACTTCTCTACTGGAGAAACTGGATGCTGAAGTCCTATACTGCTTGCACTGTCAAATTTAAAATTGTAAAATAAATCAGATTATCATAAAGGATATTAATTTTGTGTTTTTATCTTTTTATTTTCCCTAAATCCTTAATGTTACAGTCATACATTCACGGCTTTCAAAAAGAAAAATTTTGTTTTCATTCTACACAGATAATTTCATTTATGTATTCCTCCTAGAACCTAAAGTATACATCTTTAATATAGAATTTCTCTGAAGTAAAATCCTTTCTAAAATTACCTTGTAAGTAGAAAAAGCTGAAAATGCTAATGATCCTTCCTGTCACTGGGAATGAACAAAAGCCATCTAGATGTGATTTCAATAGCAAGTTCCTAGGTTATAATTACTACACAGCACTATGATTTACTGCTAATTGTTGTATGACATATGAGTCAGCAAAACAGAGAACCCAGTGATCCATGATAGGCACAAAAATAAAAAGCCTTTATGTCTATAGTCAGGATCACTAATGTGTCCTACTTGCATTTCTATGTAAAATTTCTGACAAAACAAAGTAATTCTATTTTTTCCTCTTCAGGGGATTACACACTAGTATCTTTGATTCCTTTATACCCTTCAATTCTAAAATGTGGCATGAGAAATACTGTTTCTTATGAAGTGTGTTTTTTCATAACACTGCATCATGTGGCTACTAGATTACCTTTACGGCTCATTCCCTGCATAGATTATTTCATTAATACCTTTTTTCTATAGCTTATTCCTTAAAATTCAAAATTACTTCAGTGCCAACCTCATTTTTACTTAAAACACTCATCTTCCTACAAACACCTCTGAACTATTTTTGTAATAGCTCCAAACCACTAATACCCAAGATATGCAACTTTCACAAAATCAAACCCTAACTCATGCCCTATGACAACCTGCTCTCATTTACTGTAAATTCACTTTGTCCACTTTCAGTACAGGTAGAAGGTGGTGTTTCCCCCAAATGTATCAGATTTCTAAGTCGTATTTTATTAAAGATAACCTCCGATGCTGAAACAGAAACAACTACTACCAGACTTGTACATTGAATGCCATTGTTAAATGGGTTGTGCGAAATAATTTCAATTCACCAATTTTTGAGATTACACATTCCTTTCAGATCAATAAAAGAAAAAAATACAGGGATAAGAAAACAGTATAAGTAAAAATGAAGAAAAAAATAAAGTAGGGGAAGCAGCAATGTGGAGGGAAAAAATAAGGCTAGAACTAACTATATACTGGTATCATGTTTTCCATTTCCCATACAATTCTCCCATTTTCCTCTGGATATGCTCCAGATAATCCTCCATGTGTAGTTCTGATAGTACAAAAATAATAGATGCGCCCCATGTTGTTTCAGAATCAGAGTGATGCTCTTTTAGTCCTTTAGCTAAACAAAATATAATAGAGAAGGAAAGAAACATCTTTGAAAATGGAAGTCAGCTTACTTAAGCGCTGGATTCAGACAGGCTGCAATCCAGAATTATTTGCGTTCTCAAATTCCCACTGAAAGTAAGGAACTTCATGGGAAGACTGGGATTTAACTGGAGTTGAAAACCTGAATGGCTTTTTTTTGGAATAGAATCCAGTCTGATGAGCAGGCAGTAAGAAAAAAAGTTGCTATGCTGATCATCTATAAAAAAGTCCCTAGGGATTTATTCCAATACCTAATATTTTTTCAGTGGCATTTAATATGTCCCTAGAGTATCTTGCCCAGCCCTGAGCAGCAGCTTCAGGGGATACAAGTCTCCAGTTCGTCTGTAATCCACTAATCCTGCGAGGATGTCTTGGACACCTTTCGGCACCTAACAAGTCATAAGATATTAGTGTTTAGGCACCTGAATCCCTCCCTTAGTGTCTGATTCAAGACCACTTGAAAGTATAAAAATACACCTACAAAAAATGTGCATAAAAGTTTTCACTGGGTAGGTCTCTGCTCAGGAGATCACTTGAATGATAGCTTAAAAGAATGATGATCCTTACGCAACGTAAAAATATTGAATAAATTAAATTAGAATTCATAGAATCATAGAATGGTTTGGGTTGGAAGGGACCTCAAAGACCATCTAGTTCCAAACCCCTGCCATGGGCAGGGACACCCTCCACTAGACCACGTTACCCAAAGCCTCATCCAACCTGGCCTTGAACACTTCCAGGGATGGGGCCTCCACAACCTCTCTGGGCAACCTGTTCCAGTGCCTCACCACCCTCACAGTAAAGAATTTCTTCCTAACATCTAATGTAAATTGACCCTCCTTCAACTTAAGGCCATTACCCCTTGTCCTGTCACTACACCCCCTGATCATTCCCAGATCAACTAAATACATCCTCGATAACCTTGGGAAAAAACTGCAGTCTGTGCCTCATCTCCCAATCCATAAAATGGTGACAGTTAAACTATTTTTCTCCCCATCTTTATCTGAGTTATGATGATCTATGAATTTTCTGGGTCTGTCACACATATTGTCCAGTATAACAGTCCCACCTTTGATCAGTAAGTATTTCTAGATTTCTTTAACACAAATAACATTACTATCACAAGCAGCTTTTCAGAGAAAAAAATCAGCAAAATCAGCAATGGTCATACCTTTTTTATTGAGTGGACGTTTTCGGACACAAACACATATCCTGTGTTCATCAATCTGCAAAGGAAACAATCTTTCAGTGATCTATATTCCCCAATTCCAGTTACATGATATTTTACTTCTGTTATTGAATTAATTAACCAATCATTTAAACAAAGAGAAATTTCCAAGGCAGTGAGTCATCTGAACATGTAAAAGCCCCTTGTGTCTGCACAATAGCCAAGAAACCAAAAGGGAGAACCACATATTAACAAAACTCCCTGCAGACAGTGATCTAATCCTGTAGAGTACCAGGTACATCTCAGGACATTGCAAGCAAATCCAGCTCTAACAGGGCAGATACGTTATGACAGACATTGTCACTGTCTCTGATTTCCACAGAAGTCTGATAATCTTCATCATTTAAGCCTTCTGCTCCTCTGACTTCTCTGCAAACCAAAGGCCCTCATTACCTTCAAAGATCAAATATTAACCTTTATACTCAACAGGGTTTTTCAGAGAAGCTTAATGGTTTTGTGTGTTGATCCCCTAGCATCCCAGGAAAATTTACAATACAGAGGCTGAGTGACTACTTAGTACATATGGTATTATTTTACAATAAAAAGGTATTTAAATGACATAACATAATTAACAATAATTTAGTAACCTAGGACTTTCAATACCTACTAATTTCAGTATCATCAAATTACTGAAAAAATAAGCCCACGTTATAATGAATACTATTATATATTAAATTACTTATTTTTCATGTTTACAGACAGAACTATACAATGAAAATTTGAAAGCACATAGCAAAACTACAGAAGGATAAAAAATGTCCATGTTGCTGGAGTACTTACAGGATCTGCAGTTGTCAGTGGTCTATAATCCAAACTTGCCCTGAAATCTCTTATCATACACATAATTTCATAATTTGGGTTTGTAGCATCAACATCCTAGGGAAGTAAGCAACAGAATTATAAAATACCTTTTCCCTGAAATATACTAACTTCAGTATCTTCTGTATTTATTTATAAGAAAAATACCCATTAACTGAAATCTTATTTCTTCTCCGAAATGCCAGAAATATCTCAAATGCAAGTTTAATGCATTTTTCCATTCTGTTGTAGCTAATTTACTGATCATAAAGCAAAACAATTATATCCTTTCTATTTCATGTTTTTGACTGGCATCTAATAGAAAATACTGTTTCAGTGAGGACTCATTAACATTCTACTCAAGAAAGAGAGTCCTGCCTTGCCAGAATTTTCATACTCAAGAAACACCTCTGAACAACTGCCCACCACCAGAGAGCAGATACTGTCAACGCTTCTGAATCCAAGATAAGGCAGTCCAATGGACAAACGGATCCACTCCTTTACACAGGTACCACACACTGCAGAGGACAGTGCAGGCACCTCAGCTGCTTTGAACACAACCCTGCTAGTTACAAGTTGGGTAAAGGAGCTTGATCCTACTACTGATCCTGAGTTAATTCCCACAGTTACTTGGACGCACTGGAAACTCTTCTAGCACTCCTAGACCCCCCCAAAAAGCAGAAGCAAGCCCAAGGATACACTGTAGGCTACCACCAGGCTCAGAAGACCACCTGTCCCTAAACCAGGTACCACAGCAAACAGGCATGTAAGAAGCCACGCAGGGACCCCCTCTAAGCCTTGCTAAGCCTGAGCCTAGTGTGAGCTGTGCTGGTTCTCTGCAGAATCAATCAAACATCCTACCTGTCACTTCTCCCTGCAACTGGCAGTTTTTATACTATTTCAGGACATGCTGCTGATGTCATACGTAGCCAGCTCTGGAGCTCAGACCTTATTAAATTTTGCATGGCTCCCCTGAGACAATATAAAACTCCTTCTGGATCATACGTGGAAACAGCATAGGCACTCTCAGAAAGCACTGCATTGGGGTTAGCAAGCTGAAAGGGAGCCAGCTCATGTCTCTCCACTTGTGACACAGCCAATCCTCACCTCAGATAAAACCATCCTGGTAAACAGAAGTTGACTGTACCTTGATGTTGTTCAACTTGACTACAATGAACTAAAACCTGCTGACACTAAGTACACACAAAATGTATTCCTGATCTAACATTCAGAAGGGAGTATTGCTTATTATGGAAAAAGCATTTGCCTAATATTCTTCAAACCTTGTTTAAAGATTTTTGCCCACTAGAAGACAGTGCTTGGCTAATTATTGCACTTTTTCCTGGTTTCAGCTGAGTTAATATTCTTTCCAGTAGCTAGTGTAGTGCTGTGTTTTGGATTTAGTGCGAGAATACAGTTGGTTATCAACTGATGTCTTCAGTTGTTGCTGGGTAATTGTAGTGCTGACACTAAGCCAAGGACATTTCAGTTTCTCTCGCCCTGCTGGGTGCACAAGAAGCTGGGAGAGCACAGCCAGGACAGCTGGCCCAGTCTGGCCAAAGGGATATTCCCTGCCATAGAACTTCATGCTCCGTATGTAGCTGGGGAAGATAGCCGGGAGATGGGATTGCTGCTCAGAAACAGACCAGGCATCGGGCAGTTTTATCTTCCTTCTGCATGTGGTGAGAAATTGCATTTGTGCATCACTTGGTTACTATTATTGTTGTTGTTATCCTATTAAACTGTCTTTATCTCAACCCACAAGCTGGGGTTTTTTTCCATTCTTCTCCCCGTTCCCTTGGGGGGGGGGGGGGAAGGGGTGAAAAAGCAGGAGCGTGGTGCTCAGCAGGCATCGGGCAGTTTTATCTTCCTTCTGCATGTGGTGAGAAATTGCATTTGTGCATCACTTGGTTACTATTATTGTTGTTGTTATCCTATTAAACTGTCTTTATCTCAACCCACAAGCTGGGGTTTTTTTCCATTCTTCTCCCCGTTCCCTTGGGGGGGGGGGGGGAAGGGGTGAAAAAGCAGGAGCGTGGTGCTCAGTTATGGCTGAGGTTAAACCACGACACATTTCACAACAACAACAGCAGCAGCAGAATACAGAAAGCAACACAAAGCACAGGTACATACAGGTCACCAAGACAGAGCTTCCTCACACAGAAGTTTAAGACTCAGATGCAAAGGGAGCCTTCACAGGAGTGATAAAATTTCAGGTATAGTACCACATCAAAGAATTTTAATCACAGAACCATAGAATGGTTTGGAAGGGATCTCAGAGATCATCTAGTTCCAACCCCCTGCCATGGGCAGGGACACCCTCCACTAGACCACGTTGCCCAAAGCCCCATCCAACCTGGCCTTGAACACTTCCAGGGATGGGGCCTCCACAACCTCTCTGGGCAACCTGTTCCAGTGCCTCACCACCCTCACAGTAAAGAATTTCTTTCTAACATCTAATCCAAATCAACTCTCTTTTAGCTTAAACCCATTACCCATTGTCCTATCACTACAGTCCCTTGTAAACAGTCCCTCACCAGCTTTCCTGTAGGCCCCTTCAGGTACTGGAAGGCTGCAATAAGGTCTCCCCAGACCCTTCTCTTCTCCAGGCTGAACAACCCCAACTCTCCCAGCCTGTCCTCATAGGAGAGGTGCTCCAGCCCTCTGATCATCTTTGTGGCCCTCCTCTGGACTCACTCCAACTTAATATATAAAGCCAAAAAATATTTGTTCCTCACACAGAGATATAGTCATATTTTGCATTTGTTGAAATGGATGGGAATTAGAGAACATGAATTCAACGTAGGTGATTTTAGGTCAACTTACAAACATCATTAAACCGTGAAGTAAATTGCCTGAGTTATTTACTTGGTGGTGGTACTTCTCATGTCAGTAGCGGATTGGTAGTATCTCTTCAGAGACCAACACATACACACAGGGCTGCCAACAAGATTATGCTACTAGTTTTGCTAAACCTTTTACACCACTGTGACAGAAAGTCATTTACTATTAAGAGATTTTTCTCACAGGATTAGCAACTTAATTTCTTTCACACAAGTTTCTAACAACTTGCTGCCAAGCTGTCTGCATGATGCAAAGCTAAGTTATACATACACAGACTGGTTTAAAGAAAAAAAAATTAAAAGTCACTGTTCAAACTTGAGCCTCAAACAGATCTGCTACAAAGCATCAAAGATCATAAAGAACAATTTATTATAATGTCGTAATACCTCCTGTACAATAACAGCCCTATCTAAAAGCCAAAGGTTTGATTATTTTCAACAATATATTTTTCGTAAGAAATAGATATCATCGGCACTTGATCTTTAAAGAACACACGGCAAGATAAGCAATGGAAAGCAATTATTTCTGTAGAAAGAAAGAAGGGGAAAACTGTCTAAAGTAACACTGACGAGAGCAACCAAGCACCAAAATATTTACCAAATTTGTACGCAAGATGAAAACATTTCATTTCAAGATTCTTTCAGTTTATAAAAATTATTAAAGTCTGAAAAAAGCACAATGATTTTACAACCTCTTCTCTTGCTGACATACATTTTCCATCCAAGGTAAAAATACTAACCTGAGCTCTTTTTTCTCTAAGTTCCTGCTGCTGTAACCTTCTTTTTTCACGTTTCTCTTGCAATTTTTCAACCTCTTTTACACAATTAGATTTTCTACGTGCTTAAAGAAAATGATATAATTTTAAAATATTTTCAGTGTTGCATGAATTTATTATTTACACTGTAACACTTCAATTACATTAATTTATCAATAATTAGAATGCATTTATATAAAGTATCTTTTCAAGCAAATCAGTATTAGTACAGAATAATTTTGGCAATTAAATTTCTAAAATTCATAAAATTAATTAGAAAAAAGTCATGGGAATGGGACAATAATTACATGACCAAAAATATAAGGACAATGACCCTCAAGAAAATATTTGGACAGATACATGTGATCTCTTGGTTGAATTAAAAAAAAAAGCCCAGGCAAATTAAAAAAACTCCAAAACACACACACACCAAAAAAAAAACATCAACCACCACTGCCATCATTAAAAAAAAGATAAAGGAAAAACAAATTCCAAATATTAGCACAACTATGAGAATAGTGATTATTTGTTTAGCCACAGCTCTGAAAAAGCTCCTCGAGGAAGCCCACAGACAACTGCACATGTAGACTGTCCTTTATGGACAACAACGTAATATAAGAGAATGTACATGTAACACCAAGAATGAATGAATCCTTGGTACACGGTTTACATACAAGGGGGTCCAAATTCCTTTTTTGCAGCTTGAACTGGAGATATATCTGAAACACTACCATTCTGTTGAGAGGAGGAAGTCTGCTCGGGAAGCTGAGTAGGTCGCGCACGTGCAGAACCAACCACTGCAAAGGGAAAGCACAAAGCTCATCTGGACATGGAAGAGTAACATTTCTACCGAGTTCTGAAATGCTTTGTTATGACAGGATAAAATGAGGTCCCCTTCCAGACACAACAATTTATTGAGGGTGAGAGGGAACCATACGTGTAAAAAGTCTATTAATAAAGACATTTGGTATGCAGCCTTTTTTATCCTAGCATTATACACCAACACAACATAGTTATTAAATACCAATGTTGCATGTGCATATTTTTATGTACTCTACTGCAGAATTAGTACAACTTATGTGCATAGAACAAAGCACGTACTTGGAAATATGCAGTCCTGAAACTTACAGTGCTGCAATTTTATTTATATTGTGATTATATCCAAAAAACAGATAAGAAAAGAAGCCCCACTGATTCACATTCTCCAGACGTTACAAAATGGTCCCACCCCATTGAGCCTACAATCTCTGGAGGAGCAAAGGGATACAAATGAAAGGCAGCAAAGCACCACCCAATCTGTGAGTGGAAGAAAAAAAACTTTTTGACACTATAGTGGAAGGAATACAGATTCAATCAATATGTCTAAACTTATGCATTGATTCTATACGTGCTAAGGATGTCAATTTCTGAAGATGCAGTGATGTCTGTTCCCAGTCAATGCAGTGGGAGTGGTGAGCATGTAAGCCTCTTTGGTAGAGCTGAATGCTTTAAATTGTTTTTCTGAGAGTTCCTTCAAGCAGCTCTGCTTCAGTTGGCCCATTTCCTACACACGCTCCTACCAGAGTCTGCCAGAAGAGTACAAATGTGAAGGTATCAGCTTTGAGTAGCAGCCAGAGATGACACTCCAAACAAAGGCCAGCTCACTGTGCAACACGGAGACAACTATGGAAACAGGTATTGAATGGAACAGACAAGACAAATGCCCAGATCATTCCAGATATGATAGGAAATCTAGTTTATAGCACAAACTGACTACATAAAATAAGACGGTGTGCTAAGAAAGCTTAATTACAAGGCCAACAAAGAACAAATACTTAGGCCAACTGTGAATAGTAAGACACATAGGACCTATCAAAACACAAGTTACAGTTATTCCATACCAAACAGACATATGTGAGGACAGCCCATCAATAAGATGTCTCAAATTTAAACCATATTAGTTTGAAAAAAAAATATCCCCTCCTCATGAGATTTTTGATTTAACACCCCCAGAGGCAAATGGCAGAATGGCGAAAGTGGTCCTAATCATCCACCAGTAAAGTCTGAACACTTGCAAAGATACACAAGCCCACTTGTTTTCCAAGTTTAAACAGACGGACTGGAATCTAGTCTGAATTAATGACAGTAGATTAACGTTTGGAAGAAGAATCATCACTATCATCGGTACAAGTTAGTTAAGTTTAATGCAGGAGAGAAAATGAAAACAGTAATCAGTAACCATTCTTTCTTATGTTATAGATGTATTACATCTATATTCATCCGATACATACTTTTCACTTCTCCTCCTGTGGTACTTCAGCATTTTTTGTAGATTTTTTTGCTATTAACTGTAGAGTGAGAAATAACGTGTAGGGCTTAAGTATTCTTTGAACGAACGTTTACACGCAGACTGTTAGAAAATGCAGGTAAAAAATGAAAACATAAGAATTTTAAGTGCACCATTTAGTGTATATTGAAATACTCTATTAAGCTGAAGCAAACTGAGGATGCTTTAACGTGGAAAAGTCCACATATGACTTAATGTAGCATAATTAATTAACTTCAAATTTTTGCATCTTCAGTTCATTCAGCTTAACTTTCCTAATGCTACACTGCTTAAACTTGCATGTAAATACTATTTGTACAGTATGAATTCCTAAATATGTCTTTCACATGTCACATGCATACACAGTGAATGAGAAATGCAGAACTATTAAGGAATGTTAGATGAGTAGGATGTCAAAATGTTCCCATGTTTTTTACTTCCTTGAAATGGAAAAGGTAACATTTACCTCTGTTATCTCTGGCAGGGGTGTCATTCTTAGTAGGTCCCACAGTTCGTCTCTATAAAGAAAGAAATCTCTGTTATTCGATCACCATATTATTGAAAACATAAACTGCAGCCCAACCTCTGCTTCTTTCCAGTGAATGAAAATAACACACCAGCAATACAGAGAGGTGATTGCTGCCAAATTCCTTCCTGAAGAGCCTAGGTTGAAGACTGCTTGAACCACGTGTACTGTCTCAAAACAACCTCCAAAACCTCCTCTATATTTTTCCTTGAGATATATTTAGTTATTTATATAAGTATTAGACCCTAACTCCCTCTCTGCCAAATTTCTTCTTAGAGAAGTTTAAGAAACCCTTATTTACCATAGGAAAAAGAAAGGAACAGAGTTATCAAGTAGCTCCACAGACACAAAAGTTAAAGTTAAAAATTCAAGCATGACAACATCTATAGGAGTACTGTAAGTTTAACATGAACATGTTGCATAGACATTACCAACCTTCACGATTTTGTTTACTTTGGCTAATTGAGCAGGTGGTGGTGGTGTCTCTGGACTAGGTTCAATATCTTCATCAGGTGCAAGATCTGGGTTAAGTGAAAATATGCTCTCCAAGTCAATCTGTGTAGAATATAAAATGCATTTACGAGTCTTAAAACAATATTCACCCTCTCTATTTTTCCTGTTCTGTTTGAGAATAAATAATAAATATATTTACCCCACAATTTGATAATTCTAAAACCTGAATTATTTTATGTTCACTAAAACCAGCATAAGCTTTGTTCTTTGTATTAGTTGAAAACACACCTGTCAGAAAAGGGATGAATTAAAAATGACCAACAGATATTCCTAACTTTGTAAAGTGATTAAATTAAACCAGAAGTAGCTAGTATTACTGTGGTAATTTGACAATTACTGCAAAATATGAAAGACATTCCATAACATAAAAAGAAAGATACCTCAATTACTTGAAATTTCCCAAACAGTGCAAAAGAAACAGATGAATTTCAACCACCCAAAAAATAAAAGCACAGTTGAAACTATGTTAAATTTATCATGCTATTTTTTTTTTCTTTTAAGTGTTCGTCATTCAAAATGCTGTAAAATGTAAGGGCGGAGGAACAGGATCTTAAAAACAGTTGGTTTCAGATGTATTGAAACTTGGTTTCCTAAAAATTTTAAATAGCTTTGGTCTCTATAGACTGCCACTTCCCCTGGCTGGACCCTTCAAAGACCTCACTACTGTATGGATTCTGCGTGCCCAGAGGAATGAGCTCAGCTGATGAGATCACCAGGACTTTCTCACAATTATTTTTCTTTTTCCTGTGTTTTCACAAAACCAGTAAAGTGTAATTATTTCTGAGATGCTTCACCAAATCTCAGATGAAACTGGCTAACACAATCCAAAATTTAAAGGGAGAGAGGACAACGAAGCATTACACACAAAGACACAGTTTCTCAAGGAAAGTAAGACTGTAAACGTAAAACAAAAATAAATAATAAGTAAACAAACTAGCAGTTCAATTCCTCAATAATAAAACACAAAAATATTTCCAGTCTAACTCTCCCACTAGTTCCCTGCCTGAAATGCAAGTCACTCTTCCTCTCAAAAATTTGATTTTTCTACTTGTAAAAAGAGGATAACAAGGTCAGCCTTTGTAATCTGGTTCAAAATCAGCAGATGAAGAGAACTATTTAAAAGCTATGACACAGAGCTCAGGAAGTCAAATTTAATACAACAGAAATCAGCATTTGCCGAACAGATCCCATGCAAAACAGCCTGTAACCAAAGAATCATCAAGTAAATTAAGTTTTTCTGTTTCCAGTGCAAATTCCAAATTAATATTCATGTAGATTGCACACTTTTAAAAGAGAAAAGTTCTAAAATAATGAAGTTTACCTCTTTGCCTTTAGTATCTCCATTTTCAATCCATTCAACAGTTACACTTTCATTATCTTCACTTAGGGATGTTACCATAGCCTGGTGAATTCGACCTAGAAAGCAAAAACAAATGATCATTTAGTAACTGGTAGAAAAATTTTCCAAAATTTATTTCCATCACTGCACTGTGGCATGCAGAGAGGGGCAGAAAGAAGAGGGTTAAAAACTTGAGGTGATAAATAGATGATGATTCCTGGCCACACACTGTGAAGTGGCTCAGACCTGATCCACCAGCAGAGGCTCTAATGAGACAGCGTACAAGTGAAAAAAAGCTCAGTGAGCAGAAAACTGAGTGGTAAGTAAACAAAACACCACATGAAAGCCACACGACTTGGACTCTTTTTTCTGGAGAGAACACAACTCCAGTACCACGAGTCTCCCATAGGCGGTAAAGTCTCCTGAGGTGTGCTCCACAAGGGCTTGCTTGTCTCCCTTCTAGGCTGATACATTGCATGTTCCAACACAGGACTGAAGCCCCCTGAAATTGTATTCTGATATCCATTTCTTATGGGCATCCAATTAGTTGGTAATTCAGCTAAAATTAAATTGTCTGCAACAATAATACAAATCATCTTTTTAAAAACAGCTGCTTACACAGACTGCTGAGCTGGAGTTAAGATGCTGTTGCTTTGACTACTCCAGTGAAAGAACCAAAGCCAGCAAGCCCCCATAAAGTACAGTAAGACCAGTAAACTTTCAGTAGGAATAAGGATTTGTACAACAATTTTTTCATGTCCTATTTCCTACGCACAGTAGCGAGAAGCAATTGGAAGAGCAGAGCAGCCATGCACTGACACAAAAGGATCAAGACCCAGGTGTCACATTGATTTCACATCTGTGCTTTACCCTAAGAGTACCAAGAATTGGGGTTTCTAAAGAACAGAAGTCCAATGCGACTGCTCCTCTAACGAGCCATAGCACGAACAAGCAATCCCTCACTCCACCCGCCCCAAGCCACCCCCAGGTGCCCAAGGGCCACATGTGGCTCCCAAAGCACGAGTGACCATCCTGCAGCAGTCTGTGTATACGCTGCTGCTGTTGCTGGGCACCTGCTCAGGGGCAAAACACAGTGCGGTCCTTACACACCTGCTCTGGTCTGGGTATCCTCCACCTTGAACCTTCGTTTTCTCCTTTCCTAAAGCTCTCAACCCCCCAAATCAACTCCAGTTTTCCCCTCCAACTTCTGTTTTAGCCACTTCAGTCATAATTTGACTGTTTTCCAAAGTTAATGTCTTTATACCATCTAAGCCTCCTAAGGCTGGCTGAGGGACACAAAAACCTGACTGACATCCCATATTATCTCACCTAACAGCACAAGTAACAAATGTATACTGCTATTTTTTCTTTTATTGCAAAGGCTGCCTAAACATTCACACCTAGTTAAAATTTAAGCAAAAAGAGAGGCTACGGGGAAGTGTCATGGAAGGTAACAGCAAATCTGGGTACTCTAATATATTGTGCAGAGGAAGAGATTAACTCAAACGCAGGCAAAGTGTAGCACTCAGGGGACTCATAGAGCAGCTGGCACCCCTGGGCAGCACTGCTTTCACATTGGCTGTGCTTGCCTCACCAGCAACATACATTACATACGCATTTCTAACCTCTGTGCTTGCCCTTGCCCAAAGCATAAGGTTCACTCCACCACTAAAGAAGGTTAAGTAGTTTTTTCACTGAAAAAAAAGCCTCCCCCTTCGCTTCACTTGATTCCTTTCCTCTAGCATTTGCTAGTTTTTATTTCCCTGACCCATGTTTTGTCTGAACAAACCCTTCCATTTGTGCTTCCTGAGCACCATTCTCCTGGGGCACCCTGGCTGCATGCAGGGACGGTCTGGTTTGGATTCCTCACCCAGCCACTGCCAGCAGGAGATGCACAGGAAGGGACCACCACTGTGCCCTCCCCTTCACACACAGGTGCTCTTCTTTTCCCTTCACCCAAACGATGTTGTGCAGGCACACATCCTACCCTCAGGATGCTGCCCAAGATCTGCTGTTGGCGGGGCTGAAGCAGACTCATGAAGTATGATGCTTCATCACCTCATTTCCTTGGACAAGTATTTTTGTGCAAGTCTTCTTTGTGCAAGGTCGTCAACACACTTCCGCATTATTTTTTCTGCATTTAATGACCTTAATTTTGTGCAAGAACACTCTGATGTAGAACTGTTTCAATTAGCTATCTGGTCTGTTAGCAAAGCAAGAACAGAAGCCACTGTCCTCCTGCAGCAGTGCCACTCCTGCCACTCCTACAAACAGCACGCTGGGACAAGAAGGACACAAAAACTTTTCACCACTGCGGGAACTGGACAACTCCTACAGCTTACATTGGTCTAATCTTTTGCTACTGTTTTAAGGCTTGGCCCAGCTGTCAATCCAGAATCAAGAGAAAAATGATATATGAAAAATTTAAGTTTAGATAAACATACTTTGTACAATATATGATGATAATCTTTCCATGCTACCAGATTTTACAAATTTTGATAAAAAGCACTATTCACAGCTGAAACCTGTGACACTGTATTAGTCACAGAGCCATCATGTAAGTCCTGTTACTTGCTCCTGTTCTCTGTTACTTTTGTCAGAGAATGACTGATAATTTAAAAAGGTTTAATCTTTGCCATAAGAAGTGAAAGGAGATCAAAGCAGGCTGATGAATGAATAGAAAATACTGAATCCTCTCAGAAACACAGCAAGCCAGCATGCCGTGACAAAAGAATCACAATAAATCTTCCATCTCTGTGCCAGACTTCATCTGCTCCCTGGCCAAGAAAGCCAGGACTGAATTAAAAAAAAAAAACACTAACAAAAACAAAAGTTATGTCCATCTTCCAAATATTCTCAGCTTAAATAGAAAACGTATAGTATAATGTTTAAACTGGCATTGTACCCATACAATCTGTTCCTACAAATTCTTTGTTACTAAAAGTTTACACATTACTGAACTGCCAGAAAGCACATTTACATCTTTACAATTGCCTCTTGCTCTCCGCATACAGTATTCCATTATATTTTTCTAGTACACAGCTGAATACAGCAGCTGTGAAATTCAG